AAATTTCTCACCATAATAGACAGCTTTTCTAAGTATGCTCAAGCATACCCCCTTCAGTCCCTAACTGCCACCGAAATCGCGGACAAACTTCTGATATTTTTCTCACACCACAATATCCCAAATCAAATTATAGTAGATAATGGGACAGAATTCAAAAATACATTTATCACAGAACTACTCAACCTACACAAAATCAAAGTACCTACATTTTTGTTCACCTAATCACCCTCAATCTAACGGTGTGATTGAACGACTTCATTCTACCCTAACAGAACACATTCGTCTACTCAATAACCAAGAAATTGCAAAATCGTCAATCCTTTAAAAAATGGTATATGCCATCTTGGCCTATAACAACTCGATTCATTCCACAACAAAGTTAAAACCCACTGACGTCATTAATGGTCATATTAGACCTAACGACCCATACAACATACATCTCGACCAACTTCTTTTGAGCGATTATGTTAATAATCATAAAGAAAAAACCAGATTAATGTACTCAGACATCAATAAAAAATTGATAGAAACCAAACTAAACGAAAACCGTGATAAACCCGAAATTTTCAAACCCAAGCAAAAAGTTTTCATTAAAAAACATGTTAGACAAAAACTCGGTGAAAAGTTCACTAAACCAGTTGAAATCGAAACCATAAATACGGAACGTGAGACAGTGCAGTCAAAATCCAATGCAAAAGTTCATATGGATAATTTGAAACATCCTCTGCGAAACACATATAGCTTTGATTAAGAGGGGCGTCAGATAAGAGCCAGCGCGCCATCTTTTGGGCTTTATGACATACATTAAATATTTTTTTATTCACAGGTGTTCAAATTCTCTGTAAGTGATTGACTTATTTACAAGTAAATGGCGACATCTTCAATATCAATTTGTTAACACACTAATTTACAGTGGACTAAATAATTTTATTTAGATACAAAATGAAATAATAGTATTTCACATTTTTAGCTAGGTAAAACAATTTTTACTGGCGTTTGAAAAAAGTGACTACCCTTCCCGCGCTGAGCGACATCTATTAGAGAAGCGCTGAACACACGTTTGGTTTGAGTCTCTGCTAAAAATGACAGCAATCACCTCGTTGTTGGCAGATTTTGATTAATTTTGTGATACAAACATTATAATTTTCGAAAATTCTGTCCTAGTCATTTTTTCCAGCATTTTATTATCTGAAATTTTGGAAATTTATTGTTGGTGTGTTACCCTAGGTATTCGTCCCTTTTTCATTTAAATCCATGACCAAAATTTGCATATTGTCAACAAAATTGGCAATAATTTTACAGTTTAGACTGCATATTTTGCAACCAAAAATGCTTCGACTTATACTCCAATGTTATGAACATAACTTCATTTCACTCAATAGTGGTCTAAATTTGGAATTGAACAAAAATTTCTGAAGGTCTGTAAATGACATTTTATTTAAACGCCCCTCTTAAACAGGCATAATATTATATTTCAGCCTCGCGGGTACCGTTACCGGAGATCCCGATAAAATTGCAATCAGGAAATTTGACGACAACCCAGGGATTTTACCACCGCAATTGGGACACGCAAAAATCACCCAATACACTTACACCCTAATCGACTACTTTGACCTAAATCCAATTTTAATCGAACTAAATAAACTACACTTACGTTTTGAAAATATCACGAATTTGCTGATACTACACAAAGAGTATTACGCTGAGTCAACAAATGATTCAAAAATCTTAACATTAATACAAGAACGCGTATAAAATAAAATTAGGGAAATTCTACCGTATCCCAACAGAATTAAACGAGGTTTAGTTAATATTGTGGGATCTGAAAACAGCAACAACAACAATCACAGGAAATTTAGATGCATCCGATGGCGAAATATTCGAACAAATAATAAAAAATTTGGAAACCAACCAAATTGATTTGCCTCAAAACATTCGAAATCAAAATGCTATTTCGGCTAGCGTCATCAATAAATTTAATGCCTCAATTTCCACAATAAACAAAAATCAAAAACTTCTCGAAAACAGAATTTACCAAATTAGCTTAATTGTGCAAAAAACCACCTAGAGAAAACATGAATTTTATATGTAAGAGATATTGATATTCTACATCAAATTATTAACCTTTATGAAATAATTGACTTAACATTGCAAGATATAGAAAATTCAATAACATTTTCTAAATTAAAAATCTTTCACCCAAGTATCATAAGGGTTGAAGATCTCTTGTATGAATTACAAAAACTCGAAAAAGCAATAAACCCTAATGAGCTACCTAGTCCTGTTAAATTAGAGACTGCGTACTTCTGTTTGAAAAAATAATTGACGTCGATTGTTTTACTCTAAATAATAGAGTAACATTCTTGCTGCGCGTACCAATAGTCAATCATGATATTTTTTACTATTCCCATTTATACTCTTTTCCAATGAGGCATGAGAGTCTGATTAAGGTAGTCATACCGCGGAACAAATACCTAATTAAAAATCAATCGCACTATAAACATCAAGGCACACTTTGCAAAGAAATCCTATCAAACTATTTCCTTTGCAATCGAGAAAACCTTCGAGAAATAGACAAAACCAGCCCTCGCGAAGTACAACTTCTACAATTCGAAAAAAAAAAAACACCTCTGCCTGCCGACAAGTTGACGTCACAGTTACCCGACCTATAATCAACCAATTAGAAGGATCCGATCAATGGATATTGATCCTACCGAACGAGGTCTCTAGCCAACTTAAATGTCCTCTGCAAGAAGAACATGTTAAACTCCATGGCAGTTATCTGCTCACGTTGTCCAAAAATTGCCAAGCCAAAATCGATGATTTAACAATTACCAATCAAGAAAAATTTATCGATACCAAGAAGCAACCAATAGTATTTCCCGACCTAGACGACCAACCAATCTACCTGCCTGTGTTGAACCTAAGTTTTTCATCTTCAAGATATTCAGCTAGACGAACTTAATGAAGTTCAACACAAGATAGAAGAAAACCAGCCGCCCAGACTTCTCAGCGAAATACCCAGAATATCAAGTCTATGACTATCATTTATTTCATCCTCGTTATACATTTCGTCTACATTTATAACAGAAATATACAGGATGCACAAAATGGTTCCATAGAAGAAGAAGCCATCCTCGACGGAAGCCAAACCCTGTCCCAGATATAGTTTAAACTGACGGTGGAGGAGTTATATGGTAGTCAATTCCCAGAAATGCTAAAGTTGCAGATGCTGAGGTTGCATATTCAACCTCAATATATAGAAGATCCCAACCAGGCGCGGACAGTATGCTTTTGGATATATTTTAACTTTAATTTGTAATCGGTTAGTTTAAGTTGTATTAGTCTAGGAGGCAGTGACGATTTTCGGTACTTATTTTCCCAGTCAGACAACATGGAGAGACTTGTAGGGTTAGTAATTCTAAGCAAAATACATATATTTTTAAGGGGGGTTTTCCGATGGGTTGAAGCGCAAAATGCGTTAAAGCTTACGAATGGACGGCCCTTTTTTTTCTCAGTGATAAAAATAGGTCTACTAATGAGAAGTATACTGAAGTTACGTGAAAAAATAGTCCGCCTAATCTGTGAGTATGGATAACATGTCTGGCAAGTGAAAAATTGAAGACCCGAAAATTTTCAGTCAGACTCACTTCCACTATCCGAGATAAGTCAAATTGCTATTTTCATATACTTTATGTTCTATTGTAGTAAATGTGAAATATTTATGTCTGGGAAAATAGGCGTATTTGTGTTTTTCAGTGATCTTGTGAACCCATCCGAAAATTTTGGCCAGACTCGATAATTCTTGTTTTGTATTACCAGGAGAACAAACTATTGGATAGATACCAACTGGGAAAATAAGTGCTAAAAAATTTCACTGCCTCCTGGACTATATAGTCATATTCACGAGAGAGTTTGAATTTTGACCGTTATTTTCACCAGTTGAAAATAAATAATATCCCCAGATCTGTCCCTTTTTCTGACAACTATCAAATAATGATACATGACATTTTGATTTGACACATAAAAATAACAGATTCGGGTCTTTGAATTTCGAATTTTTGTGTGAAATCTTTCAGTTTTTTGCCGTTTTCTGCATTATTTTTTTATTTGTTATTATCGTAATCGGTCTTTTGGTTTTTTATGTAGTGTTCTGTGCCTTTGTGTTTCGGTGTTGCGTTTCAAACCTGGTTTTAGTATGGATTTGAGTGTTTACTTTTATTATAAGTGTTTACTTTGGACTCTAATTTTGAGATTTTTGGATTTTAATAACTCAACTTCCTTCAAAGAAATTGAAAATAAATTTTTATTCTGAAATGTATATCACTTTTCTAAATACGACCCTGTCGTGTATCCCAGCTGACGGAATCGAAGCGCTAACGCATGCTGACAACCTAAAGAAAAAGTTTACTAAAAATGTCAACGCGAACTGTCAACTTCACTTTCTATCGTGATTTAGTCTATAATAATAAATTTTTAAAAAGGCAAACCTCCGGTCGTGTTAGTTAATTCACTACAAAAAGAAAAAAGAAGATCTCCCTTTTTTTTGATTATATTTTCCACTTCTACTCTTTTGCTAGATACTTTAACAAGTTCAAAACGATTTATTTTAAAAAAAAAAAACTTACACACTTTACTAATATTTAGAGCGAGTACCTACCAGCTCTAAATACAGTTTCCGTAATTTATTTTTAAAGTTCAGATATCGAAACTTTATTTAACCAAAATTACCAACACTTTCAATGGCGTTTCATTTTCCGTTTCCGCCAACCTGGAGAGTTTAATTTTTTCCTTCCTATAAAGGGGCTGAGACTAATCAGCTTAATTGGTCGAGCGGTCAAAAGTTTCTAAATTATTGAAACGACCGGACGAGCATGGAAAGTTAATACCTTTAATAAATTTTACGACACTTTTAGCAAAGCTACCCCGTTCTATATGGGGGAGGGACATCACGAAAGCGTTTCAAGCTTGATTGATTGAAACAAAAAAAAAATACTTACGATTTTTGGCACCTCGTTCGCTTCTAATCAAAACTTCGTGATCGTCTTCTTCCCATACTTCTCCTTCGGCAGCTACGTACACAACAAAGACGGCGAGAGTGAAGAATAGTAGCCACTTCATCTAGAAAAGAATACGAATCTTATAATAAAGCTCGAAATTATTTCAAATGAATATTGAAGAATAACCATAACTATCGCCAATAAGAAGGGACTAGTCAAGGCCGCCGCTAGGGTGTTAGCCGCCTGTGTGTGCCCAGACAATTTTCGCAGCGTTCTTGACTTGGTTTGTGTCAATTGTTTGTCGGCTGTCATTGTCATTGGTTGTCTTTCTCCGTCCCTCTACGTTATTATTTTTTTCTCTCTCGTGTAACGAAATTTGCCAAAACGTGACGCGTCTTTCAGATCATTCTCCATTCTCGTCCAAATATCAGACCGCCGCCCAAAAAGTTTCGCTTCAAAAAATCGAGTTTTCATAAGGGTACCCCCTTTGAATTTTAATTCGAAAATCTTCAAACCTGGATTGCTCGGTAATCGTTGGACAAATTGCATTGAAATTTCCAGCATTTGTAGCTCCTATTAAGTTCTAAATGGCCTGTGATTTACAATATTCTCAGATTTAAAGTTTTTGAATTAATTGAGTTTGAACAAAATTTGGACTAAAAGTCATTTTTTAAGGCTCAATTGCTCAAAAATTATTTGAGCTATCAAACTCAATTTTCCACGGATTTATAAAGAATTTAATGCTCTTTCCAATGGTGTATAATTTATCTCAATTTGCTCGAAATTTAACAAAGATATGGCAATTGCTCATGACTATGTCAAGATTTTGAAAATTTTCCAAAGTCAAAAATAGGATTTGCTTTTTAATTTTGTTTCTGCTTAAAATGGCCATTTGGAAATGATGTCAAGGTCGTTTTCTACTAAGTTTGACCCGTTCTATCGATTGATAGAGTGAAAATTGAGCAAAACTGAAAAATAAAAAAATCGAGTTTTTTATAAGGGTAACCCCTTTGAATTAGGGCTTCGCAAGACCAAGACTAAGACCAAGACTGGCCAATTTTGGTCTTGGTCTCGAAAAATGAATGCAGTCTTGGTCTTGGTCTTGAAGATTCAAGACCAAGACAAGACTAGCTCAGTCTTGATAGTCTTGGTCTTATAGTCTTGAAAAAAGTGTATACCAAATTTTTAAAATATACATAGCATATAACAACAGCGCAGAGATAATGGGTTTAGGACTTCAAAAATAAAAAATAAATCTCCCTTTTTGAAAAAAATATGCCGACGTTTCGACCATGCATTTGGTCTTCTTCACAGGCTATTTTTAACAACAAGCGCGTTTCATGTCAAAAAAAAACCGCATAAAGCATTCCACAACACAGAGGAACAAACAAACATCAATTATTCTCAAATTAGAATTTTAATTAACAGAAAAAATGCTAAAAATTATAATATAAGTTACAAAACTGTCACGATTGACTTCCATTATGTTGTATTTTCAAAACCTATAATACCTTCTCGTGAACTTGAAAAAATAATACAGATGAATTGATTTAATTAAAAGACATTAAAAGTAGATATAGGAATTTGCATATTTTTATAAATATTGAGTTGATTTCTTTTTTTTTTTCAAGACCAAGACCAAGACGAGAGTCTCGAGAGAGAGTCTTGGTCTTGGTCCTGGTCTTGAACGTCAAGTCTTGGTCTTGGTCTTGAGAAGATTTATTAGGTCTCGGTCTTGGTCTTGGTCTTGGTCTTGCTACCAACACCAAGACAAGACCAAGACTAGTCTTGTGATCTCGCGAAGCCCTACTTTGAATTATAATTTTAAAATATTCAAACCTCAAATGCTCGATAATTGTTGATCAAATTGCATTAAAATTTCTAGCATTTATAGCTCTCATTAAGCTCTAAATGGCCTGTAATTTACAATATTCCCAGATTTATAGTTTTTGAGCAAATTGAGTTTGAAGTTTTTGACAAAATTTGGACTAAAAGTCAACTTTGAGGCTCAATTGCTCAAAAACTATTCGAACATTCAAACTCAATTTTGCACAGATTTATAGAGAATTTAATGCTCTTTCCAATGGTATATAATTGATTTCAATTTGCTCGAAATTTAACAAAGATAAGGCAATTGCTCATGACTATGTCAAGATTCTGAAAATTTTCCAAAGTCAAAAATAGGATATCCTTTTTAATTTTGTTTCTGCTTAAAATGGCCATTTGGAAATGATGTCAAGGTTGTTTTCCACTAATTTTGACCCGTTTTATCGATTGATAGAGTGAAAATTGAGCAAAACTGAAAAATAAAAAAATCGAGTTTTTCATAAGGGTAACCCGAGGGGTAACCCCTTTGAATTATAATTTTAAAATATTCAAACCTCAATTGCTCGGTAATTGTTGAGCAAATTGCATCGAAATTTGCAGCATTTGTAGCTCTTATTAAGCTCTAAATGGCCTGTAATTTACAATATTCCCAGATTTATACTTTTTGAGCAAATTGAGATTGAAGTTTTTGACAAAATTTGGACTAAAAGTCAAATTTGAGGCTCAATTGCTCAAAAACTATTCGAACTTTCAAACTCAATTTTGCATAGATTTATAGCGAATTTAATGCTCTTTCTAATGGTATATGATTTACTTCAATTTGCTCGAAATTTAACAAAGATATGGCAATTGCTCATGACTATGTCAAGATTTTGAAAATTTTCCAAAGTCAAAAATAGGATTTCCTTTTTAATTTTGTTTCTGCTTAAAATGACAATTTGGGAATGATGTCAGGGTTGTTTTCCACTAATTTTGACCCGTTCTATTGATTGATAGAGTGAAAATTGAGCAAAACTGAAAATAAAAAAATCGAGTTTTTCATACTGTACCAACCAATTTCCGAGACAATATGTGAAAGTTTCCACCGAAATATGTATACTATTTTATTTTGAACCAATAATTATTTAAAAAAATTAAGGTAAAAATATGACAAAAATGGAATTTCGACTGACAATCTGACACCGATATTGACATCCTATGAAATTTCAACAATGAACACATGTGACATCTACTTCTAAATACAAACATTGCACCTGGATTTGTGTTTAGGTGTGAAAGAACAATTTTTCAGGGTCCAAAGTGAGTTCTCCAGGCCGAAAGTGGTAGGAGAACAGTCACTTTGGGCCTGCTTTAAAGTAAACAAAAGTAAAGTGATATTTTCGAACCTTCAAACCAGTAAGGAATGTGAAAATTACATATATAGTTCAAAATACATACAAGTAATAGACCCAGTGAGTCACACTCACAGGTATTTTCATTTTAATTTTTTTTTACATTATTTCATTCTGTAAGCGTTTCCATAAATTCTTGGAGTTTAGATGTTTGCGTCGTAATGTCATCTTCTCGCTGAAAAGTATAAATGAAGAACTGAGAACATGAATCAAATGTTTTGTCTTCCACTTGAACAACAAACATTCTATGTAACTGGAGCCAGACATCCTTTGGGGTTGAAGAACGTATCATTTTCTCAAGCATTTCTTGATTCACGTTTACCATTAACGAAAGATTGCCTGTCTGAGTATAATCCTTTCATTTTACCTTATCTTCTATTGAGGCATTATCCGCTAAAGGGTCTGGTGGAATTTGTCAAACCTTGAATCATTTCTATACCACCTTTGTCTGTCCTCAACAATATCTCTATTTTGTACTTCCAAGTTGCCCCGTTATATGTTTGCCTTCAAGTAGACCATCTTACACAACGCACCCGTCTTCCTCTGGATCTTCTTGATAAAAAGCCTTGAAATTTAAAAAATATTTTCTGTTAAACTTGATGTTCACAAAATTTTTGAGCTCTTGACCTTCTGTGGTCGGAAAATGCAGGTAACCACGCTGTGCTACCATGAAAAGTAGTCCTTTTTGGTATGAGATGAGACAAAATAGAAGTGATCTTTGTGATTTGATTTTTTTTTACACTGTCAAATATAGACCATGAAAACCAGAAACAACACATAGTAAACAATGAATAATTTTACTAAACATATTGGATGGTCAAACAGAGAATGTCTTCTACGTAAAACTTCAACAAAATTGAACTTTGATTTTCTGAATTACAATTGGAAAACGAGTAGTATTTTTGGCTGGGTCACCTCCAGTCTGCATAAGTATAACCTTTGCTGTAGTAAATTCTTCAAGTTCCTGGATTAAGTCGACAAATATCCCAAATGCCATTAAGTAGCAAAGAGGTACAACCTACAGAGACACCCATAATAAAATTCGAAATGTAAAACCGAAAAGAAATCATTCCGAAAATGTATTCAGGAACTCATCTAGGAATCCGCAGCAACAAGCCAGGCAAGGGATATCCCCGTCTCGCCTTTGGAAAATAAAAAGGAAAATGGAGAAACGTGAGAATAAAGTATTTTGTTGTAAAAGGGAGTCATCGATTTAAATTGTTATACTGGATGACCTGGCTTGAGCGGACGATTGTTTCCATTGAAATCCTATTGAATGTTCAATGCAATTTATTTGATTCATAATATACGGATACTATTCTCAAAATTGCTTTAATCTTCTGTTGCCTGACCCATGGGCCAATGAAAGAGCTAAACAATTCTTTACTATAATCAAAAAATTTAGAATTGTAACGAACCTATTTGAGTGGTAGTTACTTCTTGTTCCAAAATGCATTTTTTATTAATACAGCCGAGCTTAAGTAATTTTTTCTCTGTAATTTTTTTAGATACATTTCTTTTTTCAATTTCTTCAGCTTTCTTCTCAATTCTTCTATGTCTTGCCGTGATTGTTTTTCATTATGATAATTTCCTGATGTGCCTATTTTCGTACTTGTCTTTCGAAATAAAATAATCACTTAAGTTTGAAGTCGCCAATCCGATAAAGTTTTTGTTTGGGTTTCAACAAAGAAATAAATTAATTGAATATATCTTAATCAGGCGTTTATTTACGCATGTTAATTAATGCAAACAATCATTAATAAATAATTTACATAATAACTGAGATAATTCTTATGGATATTGGTTTAGCCTTTTGATCTTTTGACGCTAATAACGTCACACTAAATTCGAATTTACGTCTTGCCCGGATGAAATAAATTAAAACAAAAATTCGATACTAACT